GTTAATGTATCCGGCCTTAAGCTGCTATAAACGAGATTTATATCTCAGCTTCCTGGAGCTTTATTGTTGGACCTTGTGATAACCTCACGCACATCTATGATTACCGTAGTTGAACACGCTAAATTTTATTCCTGTATCAATACATAAGAGTTCTAAAGTAGTTTATTGTAGATCTATTCTGGAACAGTTGCAACCTCTTTCTTAATGTATGCTGTTTGTACATTCCATAATTATATAATTAATATTTTAACCACTCCACTATCAAGTCTGGTGTCGTTGTGTGGTTTTGTGTTTGCCTTTCCCCATTAAGACCTAGTGAACAGACCTATTTTTATAACAATATTTAGGAATATCGTACCGCTGAAGATGGCTGTCTTCTGAATTATTGTGCCGTGCAGTCTGGTAGAAATTTACCGACATTTTTTGATGTGCATGCTGCCTTCATTATCAGGGCGGTGAGTAAATGATGATGGTGGTAATAAGCACATCTGAAACGTCGGAAAACTTCCATTAGACTACACGGTGTATCTCGGTACGTGACTCGCATAGCCCCTTTATGGATTCTATGTGCTTCTCGCAATTAGTGCTAAATTTTTCACCACATATAATTAAAAGTATGCTTTTCGCAACTCTAATATGTGTATTCGTGAAAACAGGAACGGAATTATTAAGTATAATTCACAAGACCTTGTTTTTAAAGGGCTACATTAACCAATGCTTCTAATACGGAGGCTAAGCGGAGTTTAAGATTTGAGATTGAATTCTTGTATGAAAGACATTCAGTTTCTTTAGTAGAAACGTTGTCTGTATCTTATTACTTTTCAGTTTTTCATTTTTGAACACGATCCCCATTGGTGTAAACGTTTGTAATATCGTGATCATTACCAAATGTAGGCTATATTTTTTGCAGTTTGTAAGCAATTTTCGATACCGTTTCATCCTCTGGAATTGAACAACTACTTTCCGAAATTATCCAGTCACGTTGTGTAAATTGTTCTCGTTTGTCAAGCAATGGTCATTTAAACGTCTTCATTTACAGGCTGAAGGAAAAGTGTCAGGATTATTTAGAAATTTTCCTATAACATAGCATGTTTGTAAAAGTGTGTTCCTTGTGAAAAATACGATATATTTGGTTTGTTTACATCGGGAACGTAGAGACCGATGGGAAAATAACATTTAAACGAATATCAAATCATAATGAGTGAGCATATGAATAAGATTTCCTGTATGTCAACTGGGATCAGGGGCTGGATTTTGTGAACGCTGTGTCTTAAATGACCGGTGAATCTCTCTCGGTTACTGTTAGCCTCTCAAGACTCTGCCACATAGATTTTATTGTTATTGTAATCTAAATCATAAAACCCCCGTCTTGAATGGGATAGCTAATACTTCGTCTAACAAACGAGACACCTGTTGGACATAATTGCGTATCTCGCACAACATGCGCCAATTCAAATGGCGCATTCTGTATAATTATCCATCTGTCAACCCTGAAAAAAAAACGTGTAGTTTACATTCATAATTTCCGCTATAAAGTACTAACGAGTACAGGAACTGGTGTGAATGTAGATTTAATCAACAGCTTAGCGAAACTCGCGATGTTTAATTTTGTGCAAACGGATGATAGTTCGAGTTTTACCTCGTTGGCCTTCCCCTCACGATGCTTGCTTCGTGGGAGCCTGTCCCCTTGCGCGTCCTGTTCCAGGAACTCTGCCCCCCCCCCCGGGCTTTCTATTTTGTGCCTAGGCCAGCAGGGCTTTGGGAATCCATTTTCTGTCCCTTGCTTCGTGGGAGCCTGTCCCCTTGCGCGTCCTGTTCCAGGAACTCTGCCAGGAATCCATTTTCTGTCCTCGTCGAGTCTTCGACCGTGGTGGCTTGGTCCTCCACTAATCCCCGCAGGTCTTTGCCACCTACGGACTGCTTCAGATAACTGCGTTGCCATTGGGGCTTGCTGTCAGTGGGGTTGCCCCTTGACCTTGTCTTTGTTTACTTTGACACCCCTTCAGATTGCAATGCAAATTGTTGTTCTTACCTAATTACAAACCGATTCCGTATATTTTGACTTAAGTAAAGCTTTTAACATTTTTCCACACGATATTATTCAGTAACAATCTGTTCAACAAACAACCATTTTCTCTTATTTCTTGAACGCTTTCATTTTCATATCTTGTAGAGTGCATTAAGGTTCCACCCTAAGCCTCTTACTTCTTAGGGTATTTACTAATTACATTTGTCATTCCATTAATAATTCTCAATGCTTTCTATTTGTTAATGGCTTAAAGATTTACGGTATTAGCAGTGTTGGTGTATGTAAATGTTTGCACCATGACTTCGATTCTGTGAAAATTTGGCGTATTGGTAATGTCATGAAAGTCAGTTTAGGCAAAACTACCATTATATCTTTTCTCGAAAGACAACAATGTATTTTAATTACAAATTTGGTGTCCCGCTCTAAGTGTATTAAAGATCTCGATTTTATATTGGACTGCAAGCTTTATTATCACTAGTATATTGCCTACATGTTTTCACAAGGCTTAAAAATGCTGGATTCGATTTCGTTACATCTTCTTTCCCCACTCTTGAAACCTTTAGTCTGCGCATGCTCGCGAGGAGTATGAACGACTACTCTAGTTTTACTGTGCTCGTAACTTCAAGGTCAGTCCCTCGGCCAGTTGTGTTTCTGCTGCCAGTGCAGTCTGTGGGAGCATCGACGTCTTTAACATGGGGTACAAAAAATTGTTTTTTTGTAGGATTTGAGGTTTTCACAGCGGTGAGTATGAAGATTTCCGTCTTCACCCCGATGACGGAGGCAGTATGACCTCTGAAACGTTGGTTAACATCGACCAGACTACACAGTGCAACAACCCAGAAGACAGAAATCTTCATACTCAACGCCCTGATGACGGAGGCAGTATGACCTCTGAAACGTTGGTTAACATCGACCAGACTACACAGCGCAGCAACCCAGAAGACAGAAATCTTCATACTCATCGCCCTGATGACGGAGGCAGTATGACCTCTGAAACGTTGGTTAACATCCACCAGACTACACAGTGCAACAACCCAGAAGACGGAAATCTTCAATTGTTTTTTGTTTATTTCTTAATGTTTTTTTAAATAGTTCTTGTATTTTGGTAGATTATTTTTTTATCCTGATCTGCTGATTCAGTGTTTGGCTGTGATTGGCCTTATTTGGTTGTTGTCAGACACGTAAATAAATGCACTGAATGAATTGGATTGAATTATTAATATTTCGCTAAAATCACGACCATATTCACTAGTCACCCGTCACAAGTGACCAGACAGATGTATTCGGTAGAGATCAATATAAATTCATTATTCATATAATTCTCTCTTCTCGTTGTATGTACGATATTTAGCACTCGTTCTTATTTGAAAGTAACTTGTCTCGACCCCGGGATGAGCGGAGCAGTGAGTCCAACTAGTTTCGCTCTCAACTTATTCATACTATCCAGCAATGTTTATTCTACACTTTTCAAACTCAGCATATAGAAAGGCGTCATTAAATGTGTGTGGAAAGAACGACGGAGCAGCTTGCCGACCGATGTGGACGTAGTTTTAACCTTAAAACATTTCTCGTAAGAAATGTTGCCACTAGATGTCTATCCGCACAGCTGTTGCGTCGCTGTCGCTAATGACTTTTCCTTTATTGCCGGGAGATGGCAGAGGAGGCTTCCCACGTCGGTTGGATGTTGAGATTTCCAATATAAGGTTTTTGTACTGCTTTCGTTTCGACACTTATCATACTCACTGCCAAAAGTTTAATAATAATCTTATAAATCAAGTCATTGAGTTAACAATTTTTTTGTGGCGTTCACGACTCATTGTCTGACGGACGGATAGTTCTTCACAGAAATTAAAAGCATAATAAAGATGTGTTTATCCGTCCATGTGGTTTACTTAATAAAATGTTATCTCATTTTAGTTCAATCTGGTATTGGGATTTACAATTAAAATCGTCCACTGAATTTTATTAGTATTAATCCCAACGTTACAGATCAGGTCGAAATTTGAACGCCTTTCTTAAAACGGCATATTGTAACAAAATGCTGTATGTTTCATAAACATAAACCTGTTTGAAACCTGTAACTTTTATTTTGATTATTTTTATATGTTGCATATTTAACGAAATACAATTAATGTGATTTATTGAGATGTGCCTGTACTTTGTCAGTTGTACTGTGGGGTCTAAGTGTCAGTATGAACTCTGAACATTTTCCTCTTATGTGACATCGACTGAATACATTTAATAATTATAAATAAAAAAATTATTCTTCGCATCGGAGTACTTCTTGAGAGGCTGATAGTTGCTCAGATTGTCCAGAAATACCGTATTTTATGCAACCTGTAGTTTCATTATTATTTTCACAAAATTCCGCCACTGTGCCCTGTTGTGAGCCAGTTTAATCAAACTCCTTTGGACCAATCTATGAAATACAGCAGTATAGATGTCGCCACTGTTTTACCTGAAGACTACGGTACGTCCTTCGAAGCCGTGTGATTTTTAATTTACTTACAAAACAAAAGATGAATAAACCAGAAAACAACCTCTTATGCGACATTATTTATCTGTGGTTTGACATTATTAACATTTTTATTTTTAACATCAACTTTAATCTGACATTGATTCTGTACACGTTTGGCGCACTTCTAACTTCATGAAACTCTATATTAATAAAACGAGAGTAATTTAATTCTCAAGTAAATCGAATACATTAATCTATGATTATAAACTTTTCCATTCCTCTGCAACACGTGCCGATTCTATTAAAAACCCGGGAATATTTATTGACTCTAAACTTCGATTCCACAACCATGTTGACTATGTGTTTTCATAGTGTATTAAATTGCTGGGTCTTATTA